TTCCCTTACATGTTCTCTATGGAGAATGCAGCAACTGAGATTCCTGTACCAAATTATTTTGATGTGTTGCCCATGCTTCTGGTGGAACTATCGGTTTTACCTTTGACCTTGCTATTCTAATTCTACCATACTATTGTCAGCAACATTGTGAAGACCTGCTCAGCTAGAAGACTTTCCTTGCTATCTGGATCTCCAGTTGCATAGTAGGAGGTTGTACTGTCTGCTGTGGGGTATAGGTCCTGTTTAATCTCACCATCACATCTATTTACTTCCCCAGGAATATTTGAGCATGTAACAAGGGAGTTACACAATTCCCAACCAGCTGTAGCCGGCCAGAACTATATTACAATGTGGCATGTTTACTCTGGTGTCTAGATGAAGATTAGAAGTGGAATTATATTACTTTAGCTGAGGTAAAATAATTTTTACGTTTTCCACAATGTGTTAAGCAAAGGAAGGAACTCCTCAGTGAGAACAGGAATGTTTTGGAGTAGTTCCTGAGGTAGATGTAGAAATACTAAACAACTTGTTTAATGTTGGAATAGGAGTCCACAGTAGCTACACTGATTAAAATTGCAAAGCAGCACAATGAGAACTTGGCATCCTCTGCTACCCCAGATGTCACAGAAAATGTGTTGCTCCATGTAAATCTTACTAAAGACCAACAGCTCAAAGAGGACTGAGCACTATTTCCCTTTGAGGAAAATAAAACAATAAAGTAAGATCACAAATACCTATGATTTATGTGTACAACTCACTCTTAAATTCCTGCATCATACAATGAAGAGAGTTTCTAGGTCTTAAAGGCAGAAGTTGCAGGAAGATCAGAAAACATTTGATTAAAAGAATTCAGGCCAAAGAATCAAGAATTGCTGAATCACAGAAGTTAACTTTCCAAGGCTGATTTCATCTACATGTCCTGAAACTAGCTATCATCAGCTTGGAAAATAACCCTACCTGATACAACCTGCTTAGAAATAAATGTAGCCATTGAGCCATATTCACAGGTTTTGCTCTGTAAAGGTCAACAGAGTGAAAAGTAACATAAAGAAAGCCCACTATATTAAGAATACAGCAGTAATGAACCTGAGCTCACTGAACATGAGCTTTCAATAAGAAATGACACAGGCATTACACAGGGGCACATACAGGGACAGAGGTTCTGCCAGGGTAATGAGTTGCCAAAGTTTGTATCAGCTGAAGATCTACTCAAACTATTTTAAAGTGGTTTCATCACTAAACCAAATTATTGGGATTGTGTGCTTTGCTTATTTTTTTAGTAGATTCCAGTTCCTCCTGCCAAGCTAGGAAGCTGTCCTATGAGCAGCTGGTACTCCACGACTAACAACTCCACCACTAATTTATCCTCTAATACCCAAGCTTCCGGTGTCTCTGTTTGCAACTCAGAATCACAGAGGGTAAAGTATCACAAGTTCCTTCCCCATGCCTACATAGGCTTACCCAGCTTCACAAAATGACCTTTGTTACAAAGGGATTTACACTGGTGTCCTTGGAAGCAACAGATGGTCAGGATGAGCTGCTGCCACCAGCATTTTTCCTATAGTTTGTGAAATTATTCACATAGTCACCCCAACAGTGGAGGAGTTTTCTCAGTTTAAAAGTGAAAGCAGACCAGTTAAAAGATGGGATAAAACAACAAGTGAAGCAGCAGTGTTTCTAAAAGACACTGAGATAGGCTGGATTTTGTGGTTATATAAAAGCAAGAAACACTATCTCAATCTGATGTATGAATTAAGTCCTCTACCTTATCAACAGGAAATATGAACACATTTCCTACAATTATTTCCTCTTGCAAATCATTCCCTGTAGGTCTCAAAGGAAACAACAGATGCACCCAAAACAAGCTTTCATTTATTTGCTGGCTATTCAAAGAAAATGTAAAACTCTTGTTTTCATTTCTTAGCACCTCAGTATTTAGACAAAACCTCTTGCTCAGCAAATCTGAATTATTTTACTGGCTGGTATCATTATCTTCACCTACAAAGTGAAGTAATGAGAAGAAAAGCAAGGGCAACTTCAAAGTGGCACCCTGCTCTTATGAGCCACCATATTATGCCACACTCTTATGCCACCTCCACAACATAAACCCAGCAAACCTATTAACCTGCAGCAGGGTCTCAGTTCTTTGAATGGTATCTTACACTGTGGGCATAGAAAGGGGAAATCTTGTTAAAGATGTATGAGCATTTAAAAGAGCGACCCTAAGTTTTCCAACTGATGTACTGCCAATGTTTTTTGTGTTCATCCAAGATTTATGATATTGGTCCTGTGACAGGCACTCTGTTCCCTCTAATAATTTGAGCAGGCTGAAGGGTTGACTTTGGTGTGAACTGTTGGCTCATGTGTTACCTTATGTTGTTTTTAATTGCAAGTATTCCTGCCTTGAATGACATGCTTGTGTCAACACAAAACAGGCTTGGTGCAAGACTCAGAGTGGAATTTGAAACACTCTGCAGTGCAGAAACACTGGAATCTGTGAGCTTGGTTTCAAATCCTTCCAGGCAGATGCTTTCTGAGAAGCCTGCATCTGGTTTTCTAATCCCCCTGAAGTTTGAGAGTGTTCAGATCAAGCTTTACATCAAGCCCCTGTCCTAACAAGCAGGGCCAAGTTGAACAAAGTTGCATGTGCCAACATATCCCTGAAGAGAGCAGCGCACCTCTGCTGCAAAGCCCTGGTCTTCCAAAGCTGGAGAGGGTGGTGTCAGTTTTAACCTTAAATGGAAAGTGTTTAAAGTTCACAGTCTTGAAATACAAACAGTTTAGCAAGGCAGCCATTCAGTACAATTTCTCCTCAAATAATAAGACCTTTGAGACAGATGAGACTAATTGCTGTTAAAGGTAGAGGGTAAAAAAAAACCCTTGATTTATTAAGTGCATGGAAAATAGCTTCAAGATTCAGGAATTATGGAATTTTGGAACTGTAAAGGAAGAAAAATCATCCTAATCAGTGTGATAAAGACTTTTCGGTTATCCTTATAAAAAAATTCTACAAAAGATGGGTTTGCTTCCACACTATTAGTTTAATCTTTATTGAATACGGTGGGATATCTCCCACAAGCATAATAAAAAAAAATTATATTACGCCTGAAGTCAAGTTGTTGATGTTCTTCACTCAGCCATGGGAGAAATTTTTCAGTCCAGTAAGTATAACTTCAGAGTGAAATAAAAAAAAAAAAAGAGAAACTAATCAGGGCCATGAATCAGCCTCACTGGGGAACAACAGGGCTATGCAGAACTCTGATCTAAATTGCTATCAGCGTTAGGAATCCAGCCCGGGGAGCTCACAATGCTCACACCGAGCAGGGCACACAATTTTCTGCTGCCCTCTGCAGGGAAGCCTTGGGCCTTGTCATGCACAGCCAGGCTTGCACAGGATAAGCAGGCTCACAAAAGAACCGTGAAGTTTTCAAAGGAATTTTTACAATTTACTGGTGTATTGTTACTTCAACAGTAATCTGCACTCAATTTATCTTTATGAATACTGCATTTATAATTGCAAATTAACTTTTTCACTTGAGATTATGAGCCAGTTATTGGTGTAACTGAGGAAGTTTTGATGGAAATATTAATCCCTAGATCCCTCCATCATATGGGAATAAAAGAACAAGCCCTCTTTTTTGCAGCCTCAACACTATGCTTCTACTCTGCTTTGACTGCTCAACACCAAAACATAGCCAGGAATTGAAAGGTACCCAAAAAAAAAAGCTCTTGTCTTCCTGTGCTCTCTAGGAAAATATTAAGGAAATATCACTGTATCATTCACTTCTTCCTTCTAAACTAGTGAATTAATTATTTTGGTCTCAGACACTAGATGATTTAAAAAGAAGAAACCAAAATAAACACCATCATACTGTGCTCCAGTTCAGTCAGTTCTAAACACAACAACATGAAAAAGTTTTTGAGATAAAAGTGATTAATGAAACATGAGCACATTGAAGGCTGTTGTTACTCAGATGACCAGCAACTCAATCCACTTACATACTTCATTTGAGAACACTTCCTTTAACTCCAGAGCAAAGGTGAGAAGGATACGGTTCTAGCTCCTCCTCTTCTCTTAGGGTCTCTGTGGAGGTAATTTTGTGTTCCCATCTCCTCATTTGCCACAACACAAACAGCAGAACAGCATCAGGAACCTTAATTCACTACTGTCTGCAGAACACTGAGATTATATACTGCAATATACATATAAGCATAGATATATTCTTTGTCATTACACATCTGATGTTGCATGAGAATATAATAAAGAGAACTGTGGGACTCTAGGGTAATATGCCCATACACAAAAAGGTCTGATGTGGAGAAATCTTTGTTGGGAGGCAGCCTTATGCACCCAGCATTCCTACTGGATGGAGAAGGCCCCCTTATATATCAACACATGTATTTGCAAAATGTGTATCATGTATTTGTAATTCCTTGCTGCTGAAATACACAAAAAAAAAACACAAAACAACTTCTTCTATACTCACCACAGCTGATTTTGTTAAACACCAGTACAAGAATCACAAATGAACATTAGAACCATATGGAAATATAACAGACAAGCTTAAAGGAGGGACAGTTTTTAAAGTTATCCAAACCAATCAGATAGCATCAAATGAAAAGGAAAGAAAACTAAAAGTTACACAAAAACATAGGGATCAGCATGTCAAAACTGACAGAAGCCTGGCAAACAAGCTGAAGTTTAGAAATTAAATACTTCTCCTCAAACAATTAATTAGCAATATAGCTCTATATAATACAAACAAATCCTCCAGAAATGCACTGACTCCTTACACCCAGCATTTGCACTCTTGTGTCCTGGGCAAGGATGGGCAGTTTATAAACAGCTCAGAAACAATCAAAGCAAAACCCTGGAGATGGTGACGCATTTCTGGCCTCAGGCCCAACTCTGCAAAAAAGCCAAGGGACTTGACACAGCACAGTCGCTGAAGAACATAATCCAACACAGAGGCCAAACTTAATTCTGACCAGGCTCAACCTCATTCATCAGCATCATCAAACTGGCCCTTCTCAACTGTTCTAACTCGTGGTGGAAAAATAAAGCAAGGTGCATGGTGACAGCCCGGGTTGTAAAACCAATCCTCCTTCCATACATACGAGCTGGAAAGATTATTTTCCTCAAAGCTTCCACAGGAGAGATCGTCAGCATCTAAAGAAGATAAAATAAAGATAAAATACTCAGGAAAGTAGTGGAATAGTGTAGCAGGTTATTATGGAGGTCTATGGCACCTTCCAGTTCACTACTTCAATTTGATCTGCCAGCACTTATGAATTAGACCTTAAAAAAAGGCAAACAGAAAACTGAATTTGGCAATGTCTCCATTTGAAGGAAGATTCATGCCACACAGACAAAACAGTTTTCCAGAAAGCTCAGTGATACACCTGGAACTCAGAATGTCTGTCACTAGTTCTTACAAGGCACGCAGTTTTTTCACGTTTTCCCTGGGAATAAAAGGCTCATGAAAGTATTACTTTTATTTGCCTTCCTCCTTCCTACTCATTTCATAACACCATCCCAATCAGGATTCCTCCAAACCCTTTAAGATCTGGGTCACTGGACAGGACGGGAGGGTGAGGTCATGTAAAAGCTGGCTCTGAACAACATTTCCACTAGGCTAGAATTCAGCTTAATGGGCCTGTATTTAGCCAATCTAGCACAAAAATAGGACAAAGTGTTTTAACAGAAGCATAAAGATTTCTAGCCAGCAGACACTGAGCAAAGAAAAATCCCAGAGCATGGAGGAGCAGAGGACCCAACACAATATCCCATGTGTCAGCCTTGCAGCAGCACTGCCAAACAAACCATCACAGCAAGAACTTAAGACACTTAAAAAGACATAAAATGACCAATCAAGCACATTTTTGTATTTGTAGCAATTAACAACTCAGACCCTTGTACTCAGTATCCTTCAGAAGGACCTGAATCCAATAATCACAGCTGCCTTAGCTTGTGAGGATTTAAAGAGCTACAGGTGGGATGAGCAAGTTAAATAGAGGGTAAAAACAGGGGCAGTTCCAGTACAAAATTCAAAACATTCCATAAATTTGAGCATATAAGAGATTAAAATGAAAGCTCAGAATGGAAGGCAGGGAAAGCCTCCAAAAAGGGAACAGTCTTTTTCTCAGATTACCCAGTGTAAAAAACCAATACTGTATTCCCATGTTAAAATCAGAATGATTTTAGAGAATGACTGCAAAAAACTTTCTCACTTTCTTCCATTATCAAACAATGGAATTTAAATACAAAAGTTTATTTTAATTATGGGATTAAAATAAACAGAAAATTCATATTTCCGAAGCAAAGAAAATTGTATTAAGTACAAAAAGATACACATTAATGAGAAGAAAATGGAAATAGTACTATTCTGCACCAACAAAGACACACCAGGTTATCAATCACTTCTGGCTAAACTCCATCCATCCTTCTATGCTAAGAACCTGCCTGGCCAATGGAAGGTTGAGACTCTGTAACATGGTGAATCACCATAAAAACAAGTTACAAGCTGGAGGAATAACTCAACTCTGAAAGTGTGAGTGGAACTCCTTCTATTCGTTGCCACTTTTGTCCATGGGACTGATCACGTGCACAACCACTTAGGAGGATCAAGCTTCAACAAAATCAAAGTTCAACAAACAAACCAAAAAACCCAAACAAACAAAAAAAACCAAAACACAAAAACTCACCAAACACTACAGTAAAAGCAACAAACCATACTCAGAGACTGAACACTGATCCAAAGAACTCTATGCTCTAGAGAGACATTATAATGAACAGCCTTGAATTTTCTTTAAGAATTTTTAGATAACAAAGTTAATTCCTGCACACCATGTACCTTTCTCTTCTGCTTCAGAATAACAAAGATACACCACAGAAAACTTGCTTCACCAGAGAAACTCTACACAAACATGGAATTCTCCTCCTTACCATGCCACTCCCTAAGAATTCAATTGCTCAAGCAAGAGTTTCATGCGAACTCCACACCACCACCTCTAAATCCTGTATTTGACAATAAAATTGACCAGGAGGTCAACACAACAAGAAATTGCTTCCCAAAATAGAACACAGAGTTACTTAAACACATTCTTCTGCAAAGCACCTACCTCCAGCTATCCAAAACTCTGATGAAGCACAAGCAAATGTGTACTCACCATAAGGACCACATGTGAACTCCTCTAGCTCTCTATCCCAGTCTTCCACCTCATGCTCAGATGCATCTTGCTGCCCTGAAGACTCAGGTATACTAGAAACTTCATTATCCCACACATCCAGGTCAGCATATATATCGTACCAGCCCTCATCAGTAGAGCCACTAACGTCACCTTCAGTGGGAGAGGTAGAAGCAGATTCACTCTCCTTCGACTTGCCATCAGGAACATTTGGAATATTCTGCTGCAAACATTCTAAAACCAGTAGAAAGCACCAACAGATACATTCAGAAATTAAACAGGAAAACAAGAACAATTAAGTGCTCAGCACAGAGAGGTACACAAATACACTTTGTGCTTACTAATCTTAATGTAATACCCACAGTTTCCTATACATGTAATATCACTACAGAGCTGCTTCACATTTCAGGTGCTTGGGAAGAGTGGACATAGCCTTGCACCACAGCACCAGAACATAATCCAAACCAGGACTTTCCACAGACTAGTTGGAAAATAACTCTGTAAACTACATCAGAGGACCCAGCAGTCTTGTTTCACCACATTCACCTGTAGGTATTTAGAAGAAAAAAAGCAACAAAAACCCCACAAAAACATGGTTCTGGTTAAAAAAAAAAGTCACATTGATTAATTACTCATGTACCTAGGCATACAGAAATACCTACATGGAAATAATTTACTGCAGTAACTAATGAGACATTTCCTATGTATCACCAAAAGGCTTTAAACATATTTCTCAAGTAGTGCACAAGTTTTAATATTTGCGACTTGCTTTCTTTTGTCCTACCTTTTCTGAGCTTCCAGACCACAATTTCTGACTTATTTGGAAGCAGTTTCTCCTCAGAGGCAGCAGCCATCACCTACAAGGCAGTTTTAAAGAATGCAGTAGTACCTATGATTGCTCACAAAACTGCTACCACATTTCAGTGTTCCCAGGTGTCTCCATTTGGTCCCTTGATGAATCAGAGGTTTAATAACAAACAGGCTTTCACTTCAGAATCTGCAGAGATACAGCTAATTCTGCTGCTGCCATCGGTCACCCCTAGCATTAGCCCACACAGAACAGCCCATCTCCTCACTCACCCCCACAACCCCGACCCAAACCGTGCCCCTTTGGGAACGGCAGCACACTGTGAAAAAATCAGCGGTAATGAGGACATAAGGAGTGGACAACGTACTAACACTGAAATCAACCATTCGGTGGGAGCCCACACGCCGAAGGGGATCCTCCAACAGCACTGAGGGGCTGGACCAAGATGGACGGAGAGCAGAAGAAAACCCTCAGCTGCTCTTGAGGGGCGCACTGGGGAGCGGACGGCGAGTTCTCCTCACACTTCACGTGGAACAAGGAGGAGCCGGCGGTGGGTGCGGGAAGCCGCAAGGGCCGCAGCCGGTGGCCAAGGGCAGGGCGCGGACTCCGGACAAGCCCTCACGGCGGCCGCACCGCCTCCGCTGCCCGCCCCGCCCTCCCCGGGATCCCCGAACCTTCGGAGCCGAGCCCGCCGCCCGGCCTGAAGGGCACCATGGACCTCCCGGCCCTGCCCGGCCCTCGGCGCCTCTGAGCAGCGACAGCCGGGCGGGCCCGAGGGCCAGGGTGGGACACCGGGATGAGAAGGACAGTGGGACTGCTCCCTCTCCAGCCTCTGTGTCAGAGCGCCCGGCCGGCGAAGCCCACCGTGCACAGCTTCGGAGTCACAGACGCAATTCGGCGGGAAAGACCTCCGAGATCATCGAGTGCAGCCATGACCCAACACCACTGTGTAATTGAGACTGCATCCTGGACAAACACAGGCATAAGAGCTCTGAGGAAGCACCTTTTCACTCCTGAAGTTGTAAATGAAGTATTAATACCAGTCATGGCTGGGTTGAGTTTTCCCCCTGCCGAAAGATAACAATTTCCTTCCGGCCTCGTGGTACCAGCATGCTCAGAACATGAAGAGAGGAAGCACCTTGGCTGAATAGCTGGGCAGATGTCAAGCACGTGTACTTGCAGGGAATGTGTATCCCTGGGAAGAATGGCCCACTTCCTGAAATGATGGAGTTATCAGCTTTGTTGGACTTTAAAATCTCCAAACTTTGCACTTGAAAACTTTTAGTTGTGCAACTGATGAAGCAAGAAGTGGTTCAGAAGCAGCGACAGTGTAAGGTGCAGGGAGGGTGTGATTATCAGTAAGGAAATCTCAATGTCAGACAATGAGGTGGCAGAGAACTAATAGGGATAAAGGAGATGGCATGGCTAAAAGCTTGGAAAACATGAAAGCAGGATGTACTTCAGATTTGGTCACAGAAGGAGGAATCTTACCAGACTGCTGCTCCAAACTTTATTCCTAGCTAGCTAAGTTACTGGAATTCATTGCTTGAGAGGAGCTGCAATTTCTACTTGAGTGCAAAATCAAGAAATACTTCCCTGTATTGTCCTTATGTCACCCTTCAATCACTGGGAAATTGCACAAAGGAACACCTGCTGCATGGTCTTGTACTTTCCCTGCATTTCTCCACTGGTCCAAGGATAGCATTTATGTTGATTTCTCAGTTTTGTGGCTCTGTAAACAGCCAAGGACAGCACCCTTTCAAAACACATTACCTGTCTTTTAGGCAGGGTGGACAGAAAAAGTGTGGATCAGAGCTTTCCACTCTCACCTCAAGGACATTGCTAACAGATCTCAGCTCCCCTCTACCCTTCATCACTCTCAGGATGCAAACACCAATGCAAGGAAGCTGCATAGGCTGTTTCTCTTTTTGTCATGAGGATTACAGATTATTTCAAGACTAGGAAGCAATAAATACTGTATTTTTACTTAATGAAATTCACTTTTCATGATTCAGCTTCATAAGATAGAAAGATCACCTAGAGGTGCAGTTTCCACGGGGTTTGGTTTGGGGTTTTTTTGCATTTAGGTGCTGTAATATTAGCTTTCCAGATGCACTAGAATTATCTGAATGTTTAAGCACAATCAAGAGTTTGCTCCCAGAAGCCTTGATGAAAACACCCTCAGAGGTTTGCTTCCTCTGACTGTGCACTTCAACCTGCCCCTGGCAGAATCAACACTAGAAATAACTGCAACAGAGATTATTCTTTTTTGTCACATAAAGAAGGTAAACTTTAATAAAATCCAGGAACATATTACCTTTGTACAAAGAAGTTAAAAAATGCAGTCATATTATAACTATGTATAGTTTTTCATAAATGTCCAGTTTGCAAAAAAGTGTATTTAGAAACAAAATCTTCCACCAGGTCTCCCTGCAACATCTTCATAGCACGCCAGTGAATGCTTCCAGAGTTTTCTGGTTTGCCTTGGGGATGACTTAGCTCTTCCTTGACATAATCCAACCACAGGTCTTTAAAAGAAAAATGAAAGTTCTGGTTAGATTTTAACTAGATATTGCTTAAACATACCAAGCCTAACTAGAAACTCTTTTTCTAAGTGTCTTTGATATTAATGCAATAGGGTTTACTTTGTGAAACTACAGTCTTCCAGCACCTTGAGGAGTAAAACCCTGGGTTCTATCCCAGCTGCAATAGTGATGTCTTCAGAAATAATGCAACAATAATTGAGCTGCATACTTTCATAAAAGGAATATTGCAGAAATCTTGATTATAAATATATAGCTCCATACTGTTCATAAATCCAAATTAAGTTATACATATCTCTTATGCCAGCCAGTGTCTGAACCTGATTTGCTCCTATTGTGCTGAAGCCATCCCAATGCCAATGACCCTGGGCTGACAGTGGAGGGTCCCTGCAGTGTCCTACACTTGATGGCACAGAAGAAATAAGCTCCACTCTGCATGACAGCAAGCAAAAGGGCAGAACAAACAGGTACCTTTTGAAATGGATGGAAATAAAAGAGGCAGCAGTGAACAAATGAATGAATAATAAAACACAGAATCCCCCTTACCAGTATTTGTTGAACCAAACTCCCTCAAGGCACGTTCATAGTATTCTCTCAGATGAAGCATTTTGCAGGATTCCTAAGAAAGGAAGGTATTAAAAGGCCATTTATTTTGTAAAGAAGTGAATCTGCAGCATGATTAGATTCTGACAAAGGAAGAGAGTCATGGCAATTACACACACACACTGCTGAAGATTAGTTGCCATGGAACTTGGGTTTGTATTCACATCCTGTGAATCAATTGCAGAGGACAAACACGAACTGATCACAGACTACCACCACTACTCTGCTTCCTATTTAAATCCCAATTTAGAACTGTATTTTACAAATAAAAAGCATTAATTGGCTAGTCAACAACTTACTTGCTCCTTTTCTATTTGGATCATCTTCCTGAAGAAGTCAAGTGAAAATGGACGATTTTCACACAGGCTGAAATAAAATAAGTGACTTTAGACTTAAGGACTTTTAACATATATCCTAGAATAATCAGGTCTGAAGGTTTTTTGGGTTTTTTTACCTGGTAAAGAGTCTTTTAACTTTCTTATAACCACAATTTCTGTAAGTCCAGTCAAGATACTTTTCTTTCATAGTCACAGATTCAGGAGGCGTTGTGGCACGTAAGGATCTCTGCAAGTTTAAAAGGGAAAAAAAGCCCAAAATAAACAAAAAATAAACTTATCATATAACCTAAAATAAAAAAGCCCAATTAGTGCTTCTCCCTAATTAGGCATCTGACACAAAGGAGATCTCCTAAGTCTAAAATACATTTCCCCTCCGGTATTCCATATAGCTGGAACTGGCATTTCCATAAACTCCTTCAAGCAGAGGGCTTCACAATACTCTACAAACAGCTAAATTCAAGCTTCCACCTAAATACCTGAATTTTATGTTGTAATTGGGAGAAAAAAAAAACACAACCCAACATACCAGGCAAAGAGAAAATGTTTTGCCCTACACTACTGAGGAAATCCATAGTGAGATTAAAGTCCTCATTCAAATCTTGACTATTCTGTAAAAAGACTGATGTTTTCACACGGACTGGAAAAACTCTCTTTTCCATGCAGATAAGTATCTGAAAACAGAGCAAATATTCTAGACCAAAAAGTAGGAGCCCATCACTGGTTGTGTTTACAAACATTCATATGCCTTAGAACATGGGAATATTTATGCCTGTAAGTCTATGTCCAACTGCTTTTTTTAATGCACACACTTTTGCTTGAAATTCTTTTATATCAACACATCCATGAAGGAACTTGAGTAAAAAGCATTTGTTGCATGTTCCATTCACACACATTGTTCCATTTTATTGACACAGCCATAAAAGTAGATTTTGATTAGACAAGTACCTGGAAGAGAGCTTCAGTGTCTTCCTTGCTGTTTGTACCCTCACTCCATTCCACCCAGAGAGTCCACAATGGCAAGGTGCCCTACAAGGTCAGCAAACACATCAGATGGCTGAAATACAATGACTCTGACTTAAGAGAAACAGACAGCAACACAGCCATCAGGATCTGTATTACCTGCCATAAAAAATATCCTCTGGACACAGGTCTTGGAAAGACAACTTGGAACTGCACACTGAAATAATTTCTCATTTCCTCCCTGACTTTCAAGATAAATCATCCTTAGCTGGACAGATGTGTTGCCAGGGATAAGAACCAAGTTCTGAAGTTCTGCATCACTGAGCACTGCAGTACACAGAGGTGACTTCCAAGAACAAAAAGGAAAGAAACCTTCCTGTTTCCTCACTCACTACCCAGTGTTTGAAATGGAACAGAGCAGGAGAGCAAAAAGCTAATTCAAAGCTTGAAATACCACACAGGCATTGGAAACACATTTTTCCATTAAGATATAAATAAAAGCTCGCTGCTAGGAGAGTATGTAAAATGTCACCTGTAAGCATTCAAACTTTAAACATGTGAATTTTAAGTGAATTGACAATTCCCTAATGCTCAGGAATGCA